CAACCATCTCTTTGCAGCTTCTATAGAATACTGGCACCATCAACTACAAACAAAAACAAAAGAAGAAATAAATGGGTCCATTAACATCGGTCAAACTTATCCAATACTAATAGCAGAACAAAGTCAAATGTTTGGTATCAATCTATTTAACAGATGTTGGTAGTTAATTTGCTTTCCTCAAGAATAAAAAAAGAAAAAAAGAAAATGCAGTTGTGGGACTCATAATCTGGTGAAGTCTAGCACAGAATATAGTTTTATCTTTGTATTATCCCAACAAATATGTAATCTAAAATCATCCAAATGAATCACTTATTCACGCGGCTGGCCATTGGAATTTGGACATAATTCAAATACACTCCATAAATACTTAAAATCTAATAAGATAATTTGGGTAACTGACACATTTGGTCACTGAGATTACTAAATCGTGTCATATTTAGTCACTAGAAAAATTTAATATCAATTTTGGTCACTCGAATTACTGACACAGGTCACATTTGGTCACTCTTCTGTAGCCTCTGTCCAACTCCGGTCACTCGAATTATTGAAAAATGTCACATTTAGTCACTCGTATTACTGAAACATGTCACATTTAGTCACTCTCCCAAAAGTTTCCGTCCAACTACATTAATGGAGTTGGACGGAAACTGACGGGAGAGTGACTAAATTTGACCAGTTTCGGTAATTCGAGTGACCAAAATTGATATTAATTTTTTTTAGTGACTAAATATGACACAATTTAATAATCTCAGTGACCAAATGTGTCAATTACCCAGATAATTTAGCTAGGGTGTTCGTCACATCACTATTTGTGAGAACGTATTCACAACCATCGAATCACATGTTATACACTCTGCAATCGTTGAGTGGTGGCAATTTTATAAATGGATGGAGACAATTAATTCAAAATAGATTATGTAGTAATTGTCAAAATAAATTAAAAGAAGTATTTTATATTAAACGTCAAAATCAAGTGACCTATTTGCTGATGAAAATCAACATGATTAAATAACAATAATTAAAGAAAATGATTTCCCGACCTTCAACTTCTCCTGATGAAACGCAGGGTTGAGAATCTTTCTGTGTTGTGCCCATTTATCGCCGTTGTAGCTTGCAACTCCCCTAGCTAACAGGCTCGTCAATGGGTTGGGGTTCCTCGCCTTTGGATACTCATAAACTTTTGTGAGCACTTCTTTTATGTGTTCAGGGTTCATGAGGTGCACCCTTGGCACTGGTCCGAACCATGTGAACGACTTCTTCCCTACAAAACGATGATCATATAATTAAGATTCATACTTGAACCTCTCTCTTGACGATTTAAATTATCGGGGCGAGAAGAGAGAGATACCGTATTTGTTGATGGTGTGGTAAGGGAAGGGGAAGACACGAAGGGCAGCATCCTCGGTGATGTCCATCTGCCTCGATTTGGCTTCTTTCAGCATCTCAAGTGCTTCCTTCATATCTCCTTTAAGAAACCGATACGGCCGGCCGTCGAAGCCTTGGTTTCTCAGGAGATTCTCCAGCCGCTTGGGTTTGAACCAAAGCCAGTTCATCATCCGCCATAGCCATGCCGTCGCCGCCACCACCACCACAGCCACAAATACCGATGACTTGCTAAGAGTTTCCATTTAAGAGCAGACCAGTGAGAGATAATTATAATAATAATAATAACGACACTTGCAGGCGAGTTGGGAGATGTTTATAAAGGCCCCGCCAAGCCTGCAGATGACATATACCCTGACGCCATACCGTTCCTTGCCGCCTATTGTCCAAGTGTCGGCTAATTCATCCAAAACTAGTGGGACCTATACACAATTTTGTTGTAATTATTGTTACATACTAGACAGTAGTGTATTTTGATATTATACAAAATCTTGTAATCTAGACCATACTGTATATATATGTTAATCAAACGACGAGGTTAATTATTAGTTTCTGGCAGTTTGTTGGCGTAAGTATTGAAGCTTACCTGTCTCTCTTTCGGTCTCTACCATGTTCTCTGCTTGGCAGTTAGCTTCCCCTCCTTTTCATCCACAACCACAAGCATTTTTTTTTTTTTTTAGTAATATATAGTTGTCAACGTTTATGGCATATTTATTAATGCAATGTGTTAATTTCCACACCAAGCCGGCCGGCCAGCTTATGCTCGGACGGTTTTGGAGCATATATAAATGGCATGGGCTTTGACAAGCACCTTTGGGGACCACATTTGACATCATATGTATATTATTAATTAAGTTATTAAGCTTTCTTACAGGGAAAATGTTTGATTGATTTGGATCATCCAAAGATGTTTTCCCACAATACATTATGGTAGAATTTGTGGATGTGGGAGGTAAGGGCCTATTTCATATGTACAGGAATTTGTTGATACGTACGGTGGTAGAAATTTATGGATTAGAGTTCTCGTATTCACGTTTTAGTAATTCTCAAATTTATCAATTTTAGATACAATATTGTCAACAATTAATTAATATAAAAAACTCGAATTGTTGAGAGATGTTCAATAATGAATCATTGTAACATTTACTAACAAATATTCGATGTAGTTTGAATTTTTTTTTCAAGCTATGAGAATACATCATGAGTTAATGTAAACATTAGTAAAATCAATGAGAATAATTGATGAGCTTGTACAACCTTAACCATTTTTTTTGTGTGTGTAATGATACATGTTAGGAGATGATACGCCATTATTATCGTTGCTAAATCAGTATCGATCAATTTATAAATCCAACAAATGATTTGTATTTTGTAGAGGTGTATCACGTTTGCAAGGAGAATCCAAGAAAGCAACAAAGGAAACTGTATTGGGCCATAGTGCCAGCTGCCGCGGGCAGTTCGTGGACCCAGATCGGTCCACTTAGTTACCTCTTTTACTTGTTTTAGCCCATTATTTGTTACTCATCTGTTTGCTTGCTACTATTGGGCTCCAGATCCAGATTATATAAATCGAGTTCACACTTCACAGATAACTCGGCCGTACGTTAACTACCAACCAAACCCAACTCGGTTTACAAAGATCCAAAACAAGGTTACTTACAGAGGAATAAAGTCTTGTACATTTGTACATGTTCATTTTCCATTCGTCAGTATAATACCAAAACTCGAACCCTTTCTAAGACCCAAAATGCAGCTAGTCTATAACATGGTGGTCTAACCGATAAAACCAAGATATACCATGGACCAACCCTATTACAATTCATCAGTTCTATAACAAGGTTATAACAAATTTTTCATATCAATATCATATCATTGTCGTCACCAAATCACTCACCAATCTCGCTCTTCGTTCTCAAATTAAGTAGTTGAATCGTGTTAATCACCACCAATTACAATCGAAATGGGGGAAGGAAGGAGCCAGCAGCCACAGCAACCGCCACCGCCATCGCCACCACAAGCAGCTGTGCTTTCAGTCATGGTTGAGCCATATGCTCCTTATCAACAACAACAACACCCCGCGCCTCATTGTTATGGCGATCATCATCACCAACAAATCAACATGCCAAATGCATTTGCTTATGGTGCACCTGCAACACCGTATCCTGGACATCCACGTCAAATGATGAACTCGTCTGTTACCGTCAATTATCCCGTTGTTGAAGCAGAGCCTTTGGTTGTCGACCGATTGCCTTGTTGTGGAATCGGTATTGGCTGGTTCTTGTAAGTCAACGTTCTTTAACCTTTGTTTATCTTCTTCGTAATAAGGTCAATCTCTAGGGTTATTGAAAGTTAAACAATAACTAACTAAAACCACTAGAACAAAAAACATACTTGTTGCGACCAGAAAAATGGTTGCAGAAAGTTCTCGTCGATACATCTAGTGATCATAAAAAGAGACTAGTGGTTGCGGCATGGGCAGTAAAATCTGTACATATGTAAATTCCAATTCATGTTATTTAAATTCAACTCACAATTTCATTAATAATAAAATAACTAGGTGAGTGAGTTATATAATATGATCATGGTAAACCCTTTCGCTGATAAATTATTGACTTGACAGTAATAGGTGACAACTTGGTTGACCACCTAAAACATTTTTCTCATTATGCACGTTGGGATAATAAAGAGACAATGATAAAATTTGCTTGTAATAATTAAGGTCATTATGTAAAACTAATGTTGATTTAATGTGATTTGTGATATAAGGTTCATAATGGGATTCTTCTTTGTCTTTCCATGGTATATATATTGGAGTTGGGTTCTTATTATGTTCCAAATACGACAACCGCGAGAAGCCCGGATAATACATTGCCTGCGTTGTTCTTGTATGTTTTCTTTTCCCTCTTGTTTCTACTGCAAAAAAAAATTACTATGTACAAGTCATATATCTTCTGCGTAGAAGTCATTTCTTTTTTGTTTATTATTTTCTAATTACAACGCAAACTCATTGATATGTTCTTTTGCAGGCTGTAATTTTCCTTATTTTGGCGGTTTTTGACGCAACAAGGCCGGTTCATTACGCACAGATGTAATCGAAGTCCAGCCAAATAAATTACATGACACTAAGCGCGGAAGCTATTGTTCACCACTTCACCTTTTTTTTTTATATGCACCACTTCACCTTTGGAATTGCTCAGTCATGTGTTTGTTGGGTAGCTAGGTACTGATTAATAATTAATTGTGCTCCATTGTGTAATTAGCCATTCGGTTATTTTGTAAAATGAGGGTTTGTGTGGCGTGTGTATAGCATATAGTTAATCCTTATTCTTGAGTCGGGGTTAACTTTAAGTCATCTAACCAAATAATGTAGACAATCGAGTACTCTCAAATGAAAAAAAAAAAATCTTTAAAAGATTAAATTCTGCATCATTAATTTCTCATTTTTTTCATTATAATCGGGTACAAATTAAAGGTGACCAGTTCTGTAATAACCAACAAAACGTGGGAATTCCTTATGATCTCTGAAGGGACAACAAGTTTGTTTCAAAGTAATGTATTGCTCACAGGCATACAAAAGAAGCTAATTATACAATAAGGATGATCCACTGTTTTTTTGTTCAGAGCTTATGAAGGATGAGTCGAGCACCGAATTGTGGCCGGAGTGTAACGGCCTCTGCGGAAGGAGCATGGACATATGACGGTGAAAGCTCGAAGGAAAACCTCTTAAGTATGATTGCCAAAGCCATCTTAGCTTCCATAAGAGCGAAACTCTGGCCAATGCAAATCCGAGGACCCCCTGCAAAGGGAAAAAAGTATGCACCCTGTTGATTGTGGTTCTTCGTCGCCTTAGAAACTCCATCGCAAAATCTCTCTGGTTTGAACTCCCCCGCGTCTTTCCCCCAGATCTCGGGGTCCTTGTGGATGAGGATCGCTGGTAGGGCCACCTGAGTCCCTGCAGGCAGAATGAAATCGCCGAGCTCCGTATCTCTCTCGATAATCCGAATCAACTGCGTTACTGGGGGATACAGTCGGAGAACCTCGTTTAGGATCATGGTCATGGTCTTAAGCTGGCTGAGACTGCCCGAGTCGAGTGTGGTGGAGTCGATGCCATGTTTTGTGCCAAAGACGTGCAAGACCTCTTGTCTTGCACTTTCTTGCCACGCTGGGTACTTGCTGAGAAGGATCATTGTCCAAACCAGTAGTGAGGAGGTAGTCTCTTGCCCAGCCAAATAAAACAACTTACATTCCTCAATCACTTCCTCTACTGTCATATTTCCGTCTTTGTTGTTTGATTCCATCAGAACACCGAGCAAGTCGTTGTTGGCGACATCATCCATGCCCATTCTCATTGCTTTCTCTCTCTTGTTGATGATCCCCTCCATTAGTTCTTGAATCTCCTTGTGCACTTGTTTCATCCTAGTGTTTGCTTTGGTTGGTACGAACCTGGAGATCGAGAGGAAAGAAACACAAATGGGGAAGGAAAATTGTTAATCCTAATAACTCAAGCTATATATCCTTCTTCAAATGACGGTCTATCAATGTTTATAAAATTAAAGTAGAGCATATTTCATTGTAAATCTTTCAACATTATAAAAAAATACTTGGTTGTAAATCAATAATTTTTTTTTATGGGCTACCGAAATTCAATTGAAGTTGTTTTAGTTCAAAAAAGTTAAAAACACAAAGTTTTAAACCCTGAACAAATCGTTTCTTTGAGTAACTCGAAATATATATGTAGAAAATGACTGTTTCATATTTTTATGTACCTCCATCCTGGTATATAAATTTGTTGGGCAATCTGTACAATAAGAGTGCCCATTTCTGTGATCAATTCGAAAATTCTTGCCCCTTCTTTATAACTGCTTCCAAATGCTGTTCTGGAAATTACATCACAAGTCATGTCCTGTAAATAAGGCCATACATCCAATTCACAAGAGCTGATCATTCCCTCAGATTTCACCACCTTCTCCCACTCATCAACAATATCTTTGCAACTTGTATAGAACGCTGGCACCATCAACTGTAAGTAAAGAGGGAGAAAAAAAGAATGAATGTGTACATTATGAGTAACAAGTCTGGGGTCCTTTTATTGTAAAAAAAAGTCTGTTACGGTACGGATTGTCCGATGCTAATAGCAGAACAAAGTCAAATGTTTGGTATCAATCCATTTAAGAGCTGTTGGTACTAATTTGCTTTCTTCAAGAATAAAAATAGAATATGCATATGTGGGACCCATAATCTGATGAAATCTGGCAGAGAATATATACTTGTAATTTTTGCGTTATATAAAAAATGTTTCTAAAACCATTCAAATGGATCTCTAATCCAAACAAATGGCAATTGGAACCAAATTCAAATTCAATCCATAAATAACGTAAACTATAGTAAGATAATTTAGCTAAGGTGCTCACACTACCATCTATGAGAAACTTGTCAATATGGTTTGGATTAATCAACATAAACCCACTTTTTCCATCACCATGTATAAATAAAATATTCATCCAAATTAGCACCATTAGGTTGCCAACGCACCTAAATTAAAAATAAAAAGAGTTGTATATATTGTTAGTGTTGTGGTATATGATTCACGATTGAACCTCTCCCAACAACTCGAGTTATTGGGATCAACTGGTTTTTTACATGGTATCAGAGTCTTCTGTGACCGAGAGGTCTTGTGTTCGATTCCCGATGACCCCATTTGTTAAGCACATGATATTCTTGTCTTTAGACGTGTGCAAACTTCAAGCCCTTGTGAGTGGCTTTCGTTTGAGGGGGCGTAACTGGTCCTTGACATATATCTCATAATTAGGTGAAGATATAGACGACGACTCATCTTAATTTATATCTAATCCGAAAAATAACTTGTTTTGGTATCCAATTCCAATCCACATGATTTGTAAATCACCATAACTTATTCGTCTCCATAATCACATGTCATAACTGATCAAAGTTAGGGTTAAAATAAATAATTAATTAAAGTATGCATTAAATGTCCAAGTCGAGTGACCTATTTGCTGAAATTGATTTCCTGACCTTCAACTTCTCCTGATGGAACGCAGGGTTGAGAATCCTTCTGTGATGTGTCCATTTCTCGCCGTTGTAGCTTGCAACTCCACCGACTAACAGCCTCCTCAGTGGGTTGCTCCTCATCTTTGGGTACTCGTAAACTTTTGCAAACACTTCTTTGATGTGTTCAGGGTTCATGATGTGCACCCTTGGCACTGGTCCGAACCATGTAAACGATTTCTTCCCTGCAAAAACAACGCTAGAAGATCGATATTTGAACCTCTCTTAACGAACCAACGAGACCGGGTGTAAGATAGATACCGTATTTCTCGACGGTGTGGTAATGGAAGGGTAAGACACGGAGGGCAGCATCGTCGGAGACGTCCAACTGCCTCGACTTGGCTTCTTTCAGCATCTCGACGGCTTCCTTCAGATCGCCCTTCGGAAACCGATACGGCCGGCCGTCGAAGCCTTGGTTTCTAAGGCGATTCTCCAGCTGCTTGGGTTTGAACCAGAGCCAGTTCATCATCCGCCATAGCCATGCCGTCACCGCTACCACCACCGCCGCCACAACTGCCGATGACTTGCTGAAAGTTTCCATTTAAGAGCAGTGAAGTGAAGTGAGAGATAATAATTAACGACACTTTGGGAGTTGGAGATGTTTATAAAGGCCCCGCCAAGTCTGCAGATGACGTATAGCAGTGACATAAACCCCTGCCTTAATCAAAATGTGTGCTATTTAATTAATATATACTAATCACAATAATGCTTATCAAACCGACGACTTATTAGTTTTTTCTACTGTTAGCAGTTAGCCGTTAGCTTTCTATCCTTTTCCTCCACAAGCAAATTATTATTTTTAGTAACAGTCGTCAGCGCGTTTATGGCATGTTTATTTATGCAATGTGTTTAATTTCCACACCCATATCATACCATACCAATTACCAAGCCGGCCGGCCGGCTTATGCTTGAACGGGTGCACCATCATGCTCATAATTTGATGGGTCAGTTTTTTAGGGACATTTGGGGACTCAATTTTGACATCATATGTACGTCAACCTTTTCTATAGGGAACTTTGCATTCAATCCTTGTAAAAAATTTAGACCTTTATATTTTCATAATACATAATGGTAAAATGTGGGAAGTAATGGGTTATTGGTTGTGTAAATTTCATTGTTGGACTTATCCTAACAACTACAGAGTTATTGGGATGAACTAGTTGTTTGTTAATATTATCAGGGATGGAAGTCGGTATGATATCTGTATCCAGCATCAAATATCAAAATCTCGAATTTTTAATTACACCCTAAATTAATTCCAATCTCAATCTCAAAATAAATTTAGTATTTCAATCCCAAAATATTTTAGTATCCCAATTGGTGTTATGGAATACAAAACTAATGACATATGCAATTAATAATAAAATATATAAATAAATAAATAACACCCCTAATCCTGAGCATTTTATATAGTGTAGATTTTTAGGTTTACCTTCATGATTGAAAATTTTGATTATGAGATTTTGAAAATTTGAGAGGCATGCATCATTGAAGAGAATCGTTGAGCTCTATAAGGAAATAGTTTTGTCAACGAAGCTTTGAGTAGTTTTACTTTTATCAGCGTATCATCTTCTGGAAATTAGTGTTATTGCTACTAGTCTCTACTGTTGGTCTTGAAATGTATTGTTTTTGTAATTAACTACGTGAAGAACATATTTCATAATTGGATGACTGATGAAATTATGAATAATAAGTACATGAAAACTGATATACTTTATAATTTGAATGATAAATATAATTTAGGGTTATAGGTATAATATGCCCCTCTATTATAACGTTTTATCAAACATGCCCCTCGACTATTTTTTACATCAAACATGCCTCTGTACTTTGAAAAAATTATCAAACATGCCCTTCTGTTAAACTTTCCATTGAAAAAATCGTCAATCATGATTGAACCGAGATTTAGACGATCCGACATCTACAAATGGGAGCGAAAATATCAGTTTTGTCTCCCGTTTTATTTCTTTGGGTCTCTTCAAAGTGATATTATTTGAATTATTTGGCTATACAAAAGAACCAAAAAAATTCTAAAGTGAAATTATTAGAGATATTTTAGACATTTGTGTCACCCAAACCAAAGTTCGGCCTTTGTTAACGGATTTTGGATGGAAATTTTAACAGAAGGGCATGTTTGATAATTTTTTCAAAATACAAATGCATGTTTGATGTAAAAAATAATTGAGGGGCACATTTGATAAATCGTCATATTAGAAGGGCATATTTTACCTATAACCCTATAATTTAAAATGGACTATCATCAAAGTTATAGGCAGTGTAGTTTGTCAAATGTATACTACAGTCCATTCATATGCAACCTGAATTCAAAACATGCCGTCAATATATATGCAAAGTAAGAATTGATCCACGTTCGCGAGGAGATCTAAGAAAGCAACAAAGGAAATAAGACAACTTTGTTGGGTTGGGCCATAGTGTCAACTACTCTGGGTCGTCGTGGACCCAAATCGGTCCACTAACTAACCTCTTTTAGTTTTTCAGCCCATTATTTGTGACTCAACTATTTGTTACTATTGGGGGCCCGGTCCAGACGGAGTGTCACCAAACACTAATTGATACTGTTGTATTGATTAAAAAAGGTGTAGTGCTCTATTATTTTTTTTTTTGGTAGAAATGCTCTATTATTTTGATGCAGTTTGCAGACAATGGAAAAAGTATTGGCATACAACTCAAGTCTGAATTTGTTATTTGTTTCTCACCAATATGCAACACAGTTATAGCTTTTGTTTGATTCTTTTTATGACTAAGTGAAGTTTTGTTGTGGTGGTGTCATTATATTGGATTGGTGTCAATAAAATGGTGAAATTACACGTTGTAGAAGTAATGGAACAATAGAAAATGTTGTGAGCATCTGTATAAACCATAGTAAGAAGTAATTTCAAGGGGGTCTGGAGTGTGGACAGTATCATATATAGCTCTATTATTATTTTGATTTGGAGATTGATCATGATTAGCGTCAATGCTCTCCCTTGATTGCTTGTAATATCGCAACAACCGAAACAACAACCGCCTGCATGCACAATGAAATAAGCATCAAATCAAATCTCTCACTTAACGAGGTTGTTCTATGATATATATTTCAACGAGAAAATAACATAAGGAGAAGGATATCCGAAACTATACATACAAATGTAGCGCATGCTAGGAGCCCTGCCCTTTCACGACGGTCATACCGTCCAAATACGAGAATGAAGAATCCAACAAACCAAGGAATTCCACAAACTATCCATCCGATTACAAACCTTCATAGGCAGAATAGAAGAAGGAAAGATAGTTAAGTGACAATAGCAATATATAGGTTCTCTATCTACCTTACATTTGAAGTCTTCTTCCAACACTTTTTCCCGGTGGAACGAACATAGCATGGTGGTAAAAATTGCGATAGTATAGCTAGGAGGAAGACTCTACAAACTAATTTATACTTACAGGAACCAGCCATAACCCATGCCACAACAAGTCCATCTTTCAACTGAAATTGTAGATGAATGGCCAGTGTTGTCAAATTAGATAATAACCTGGATATTCATGAACATAAAAAAAAGAAGGAAAGACCGTACAAATGGCTACACTCCAGGATTTTCTCACAAACCCCTATTGCGACCAATTCGCAAAATCGTCACCATTGAATTGTTGCCGCGGCAGAAACGTGTCATGTTTTAGTGACGCACTCCAATTCTTGAGTTGTATATCTATCACACTCCCTCTTTTGATCAAACTTTGAGGCCAATTTTATGTCCACGTGTAATAGATAATTAGTGGATATAGATATTCACCTATGATCACAGCAGTGGTAGTGTGGCCGGCGATCACCGGCGGTGGAGCTTCAGCCGTAGTGACAGCTGGCGGGTTGGTGATTTCAATGTGTACGTTGGTCGTAGTATGTTGCTCTTGAGTCGAATAGTACTGCTGACGACGCTGAGTCGTCGTCGACCCGTGAGGGTTCACCTGTGGTGGCTCCGTCGTGGCCGTCGTCGGCGGCGGCGACGTTTGGGGATCATAAGGCGGTGCGGACGGCTCGCTACGGCCGCTGCCGGACTTCTGACTCTCGTGATCCATATATTAATATAATCCTCTCTTTTTTTTTTTTCTCCCTCTCCGTCTTACCGGAGTATCTATTGTTGGCTATATATGATGTCTTATTGGCGCGTTGTTTAACTTACAATGTGTGACAGCTAATTAGCGTGCGCCTGAATGTCATAGCAAAATAACTAACAACGTGCCGTCTAGGTACGTTCAGAAGTCAGAAGAGACAAGACAGAAGTAGTTCATTTGACTCCGGCGACGGCGAGTTCGATGTCAAGAGTTTTGATCGATATTCCCGGTTTAGGAGATTCGGGGTGGCCGGCCGTGCAGTTTCCAGGAAATTTGTTTCCTTGTCTATTTTCTTTCCCCCAGTATAGAAATGGTTAAGCAAATACATGGGATCAAAATTGTGGCAAAACATGCTTAAAATAATGCATTCAAGTTATGGGATGACAAAAATAATGGTCACATATAGGCCATATGTTGATGAAGAGAGTACTAATTTAGGCAAAGGTTAAAACTTCGTTGGTTTAAGCTATAGTTATGGAGCGAGTTGGTCTGATCGATCACGCTGGAGGCGGAAAAGAAGTTGGAACCATCATCAGTAATGTCGAAATACTTCATGTATCATAGAGGCAACACAATCAAAAGGTAGTGACGCGACATGAGAAATCATTGTTTTCCTTTCCATAAAGCAATCACAATAACTCTCAATGCTAGATAGGTAACGAAATGGTGGCTAGGCTAGCTAACCAAGAACTAGGATGTGAAGGGCATTGCATAGTGTCAATGATAGAGGATTATGGTGAAAGAAATGATTATGAATATTATATTAGTTGAGTTATGCATATGAAACACATAAATAATACTGTCAAACTCTTGTAACCAACTCCATCTACAAATAATATATCGTATGAATATGATTTTGAAACTCTAATAAAGATTGTGATAGTCACCAAGTTTTTTTTATCAAACGTGCTAGCTAGCAACTTAACCCTTTTTTCTTTGGTGCTCCATTGTTTGCTTGTTACTTAAGTGAGTAATAAGAGTTCATTTTCCGACGTTACTCATTAAGTTATTATCAAATTACTTTTAGACCCCCATAAAAACGATAATGATAATACTTGATACATATCATTTCGGGAAATTAGAAGTTCTAATCTAACTAAAATTTTCTGGTGTACCAAATTTTTACGGACAAAAATTTCACCTTTATTCTCTTTTCCTCAACTTTTGAATACCACAATTCAAAAATATATCGAATAAAAAAATAAAGAGCTGCATTTTTTCCCCCGGTAATTATAAAGAGCTGCATTGCGATTGCCTCATATTTATCCTCCTTTTTTCTACTACTTATTATTCACAACAAATCATAAAAAAAAAAAAGAAGGGAAAAATTAGATTGCACCACCACCACCTACATCGGATCGGATCGGAGGAAATAAACTGATAATTAATTAACACCCAACCTAATTACAGAAATTTAATACATTCGTATAC